CCCTAAACCCTAAGCCCTATAATACAGCAGTTTCCAATTTACTTTTCATTATCCCCAAACCCCGCTGCCAGGACCTCACCTTGCGCCAGTCACTCCTTGTGGCCGTTGGGGATTTGCTTTTTCGTCATCCGAAGCTCAACTCTTCAGAAGCCTTGAAGCTCTTGCTAGTAGGGAATACACTAATGCCAGTGAGTTGCTGTTTTTTCTCTTTTTTAAAAAAATGTTTTCTGGGGCTGTACAAAGATGCATTCCTTCATTCTTCACTAAAGAGGCAAGATGCAGCCTGTTTGAAGATTTTGCAGGCATGATGTGGTTTAGAAGTTGGTGCCCGGGTCCAGTTATCAGTGTCTAAGATCCTTGTAGACTAAAATTAAAGCTTGTGCTTCCGTAGTCCTTGAGCTACCGAGGAACGTGGTGGAACCATGGACCCTTGGAAGCCATTTGTGGGCAGGGGGTTCCTGTAATGCTTACCAAAACCCAGGGGATTTGAGGGTTTCGCGAGAGCAGCCTGCCTCATTTTCAAGACGGTCATTGGGCAGAGTCAGGTTCCGAGTTGAGGCGGTGATGACGTCTTTTTAAGGTCCGCACTGACACAGTGATGTGGTTGCATGTTACGCCTACGTAGTGATTTTAGCCATGCAAAGCAGCAGCTTCTTTTCGGCACTCCCGGGTAACATCAGATCAAGATACTCTGTTTTGGGAATTGCAGGCTCCTAGCTTGGCAGCCGCTTTCTCTTCCGCAAGATCTCACCCGCAAGCGGCTAAACGCATAGACCCCGCCAAATCGGCGTCAGCAAAGCTGCCAAGGACTGGCCGCCTTTACGCCACCTTGACGTCCACCGCCGAGAAGAGTGAGGAGGGCGGTCAGAGTGCTTGCGACCTGCGCTTGACTGCGCTGTTGGTGCTTACGCACCTCGTCCTCAACGACATGATGAAGCCCCGACCAGTGCTGCTGATTCGAGCGCTTTGGCTCACAGCATGCAGCCACGAAGCCACGGCGCGGGTTGCGAGGATCCTTTTCCAGGAGCTCTCCAAGCGAAGCACCAACGTGGTCTACAACCTTCTGCCGGAGATAGTTGCCCGGTTGCCCGAGCACGTGGCAGAGGTTGGTGTAGAAGGCGGGGCTACTGGAAGGGTGCAGTACATCATGCAGTTCGTTGAAAAGGAGAAGCACATCGAAGGTCTCATTGAGAAGTTCTCCCTTCGGCTGGAGCAATGTGCAGGAGGCTCCGGCAGCCACACCGAGCCAACAGCAACAGCTGCAACCCAGGCAGATCCAGAGATGGAGGCGGAGGAAGCAGGTGAAGCTCGGGTGGAGGACACGATCTCATGCTTAGCACATGCGCTCGGGGCCATGAACTACTCTGACCGCTGCATCCTGCGGCTGCATGATGTCATTGTTGTCCGGAAGGCGCTCAACCTCAGCCTCTCTTACCATTCCGTAGTCAGAGACTGCATCCTTGGCGTTGTGGAGAAGGCCCGAAAGCCCCGACCGGGTAAGGAGAAGGGCGAGAGCGCGCCAGCAGAGCCGGATGCAGCAGCAGCCGAAGGCGGTGGTGCGAAGGGCGCCAGTGCAGCTGCGGCCTCCGCTTTGGATGCGCTGGAGAACCTCATCAACACCTTGGCGCACGGAAAGGATGAGTCCAAGGAAGAGGAGGCCCCGGCCGTAGCTGTCCGGAAGCCTGGCAATGCCCCTGCCAAGAAGAAGCAGGCAGATGCCGGTGCCGAGCCTGGCTTCGAAGAGGCCGAGAAAAAGGAGAAAAGCGGCAAAGGCCGCGGCAAAGGCCGTGGAAAGGGCCGAAGTGCAGGCAAAGAAAACACGCCCAAAAACAATGCGCAGAATAATGCCCCGAGCAAGGGCCGGAAGCGCAAGGCTGACAAGGCCAGGGCGGATGATGACGATGAGGATTATGAGTGAAAAACGTTTCCCAGTTCTCCCACCAAAGTGGAGGATGTCTGATGTGCAGCGAGCACTGACTTGTATTTTAGAACTAGAAAGATATGCGACATGCTGCGTGACAGCAGCTGTGAATTGTGGCCTTGGGGCTACCCAGGCCCCGACTCCTACTGCCTTCTAAGTGGGCGTGGAGGAGCCAAGCCCAACATCCAGTACTCGTTAAGCATAAGGCTGTTTCTGTAGGTGTCCTAGGAGTGTTAATTTCAACACCATTTCTGAAGGCGCAGGACTATTGCTTTATCAGTCCGAGCTCGTCTCAAGTTATCCAAGTAGGATCGTGAAATTCAACAAAGGGCCTCATGCACTCATATGATTTTTTTCGCATTCTCCGTAGCAGTAAGTATGCCAAACAGCCCCGAACCGGATTTCAATCCTGCAGGTGCCTGGAGTCCCCCCTAGTAAATTCCGGAAACGTCCCCCTTGAAAGACCATACAGCCCTCTTCCAAATGTTTGGGCCCGCGCAATGCCCAACAACAGTCCTTAACATCTCTTGACCATGTGTACTATAGCCTAAACTCC